ACGTAAACAGCAGGGAGAACGTGTATCAGTACATTGCATCCATTGCAGCGGTGCATTCGGTTTTAAAGAGACAGCAGCCTAATTTAGTTGCTATTATCCAAATCATTGATGTTAATCAAGCAACAACAGAAAGACAGAAAATCATGCACTGCTCTTGACTGAAAAACTTTAGTAGCCCTAAAGATTAATCTAAATTTATTTATATAAATAGATATGTCTCCTTGAAAGAATGAAGAATATGGTAAACAAGTTGCTATAAAGAATGCATAATTAGCCTATATAACCATTGGTATTTCATTAAAAAGAAGACCATGTTCTTGTTCTTTATGAGAAGTGGTTTTATTTAATTTGAACATAAAGGCATGTTGTGTGTCACCGCAGTTAAATCGTTGTCTATCATGATAAAACCTTAATATCAAACCTATATAATGAGTTTGGAAATTTTAGAGAAATGCTTAATAAATGCACTGTAACTAAACCCATTAGATTTTAGCCCACTATATTTACTGTAGATTTAGTCGACTAAAACCTTATGATATTTAGTCGACTAAAACTAGACTAAAACTAAAAACAATTCAGATGACTAAAATATGACTAAAACTAAATGGTATTTTAGTCAAAAGATTATGACTAAAACTAAATCAAAATTTGCTGTCAAAATTAACACTGCATCGAACCCTATGTAGAGTCAACCGGTACCACGCGGCATGACGGTCAATAAGAGTGGGAACAAAAAATAAATTCTTCATGATCGCCAACCGATCTTTATCACTGTCCAAGTAGATCCCGAAAATAACACTAAAATAAGTACAAAAATGCATTACATTTCTCCTTTCTTTGTACTGTATTTTCCTGTTATTTTCGGTAACTACTGAGACAGTGATAAAGAAAAATACATCACGCACAGGAACTTAACAGAGGCCAGAGATGCTGAAGGCGAGCACAAAGAAGAGAAAATACTGTAGCAGTATCACTCAAGGGAACTGTCTTGAGAAAAGTTTCGATGGCAATGGCGTTTACTTCTCTTATCTCTGTATAAAGCGCAGCTCTGCTTTGTTTACAGCGGTAACCAAGGAAACGCTATATCGCGGCTGGTTCATAAGTGCCACCTGCTGGCAGAGAGTGTATTTGTGTCTCATTCAGACCTGCTGTTTTTGTTTCATGCAGATATGTTTTATGTATAAATAAATAAATAAATAAAACCTAAAGTCAGACCATTCTGTTTTTGCTTTAAATCCTGAAATTATACAATCTATTTAAAAAAAAACAACTGCTCATGCAACATGTGTGTAGCATCTTTGTTTGTATCGTGATTAAAATGCAGTGGTTACCTCTAATTTCAAATGGCTACAGATATTTTTTATTTAAGGCCAGTCTGTTTGTTATAAAACAAATAGCCAATAAATAAATTTGCTTTAAAAAAATAAGTATCAGAATCAGCCAATTTGCTAGTTAAAAAAAGAAAAAAAAGAAAATCTGATTCTGAATCGGCTATGATTGGTGCATCACTAATTAAAATACTAAATAAAAGGCCTCAAATTGGAAGTACAATCTGGGCACTCTTTTTCTATCAATTCTTCAATAGGTAGATCTTGTCTTTCATAAAGGCCGAGGTCAGGGATCTTGGGCCTAAAAAGGTTGGTGATCATTGCGTTAAAGGAACATGCAAACGTTATGGGAATGTTATTTTTAAATATTCTCCGGACGTTTTGTAGTACAGCACAGTCGTATGCGTAGCCTTTCAAAGTATACTCCATTTGATATCGTGCGTGAACGCACGCGGTTGGCACATGTGCTGTAGAAAGATTCTTCTTAGTCCAGTGTCTGCGGTGTTTTCCTCCAGAAGTTATAAGCGATAAAAATGTCTTTGTACACTTCATTCAATAAAAGTTGCTGGTATCTCATTGTTGTTGCAGTTTCCGCTATTTTGTTGTTGTTGTTGTTCCGTGCTCTGTAGTGTTGTGGAGCAACTGATTAGTGCAAAACCAAGTCAATGTGCATGTGCGACGTACAAAGACACAGTCACAAAATTCAGGTTCTGCTTGTACACACATACCATTCTGATGATGATAAATTTTGCATAAAAACCGAAGTATACTTTGGGCTTTAGATGAACGTCCAACTAAAATGTTTCAGAAATTGTAAAAAGATTTTTGTGCTAATGTTTTGAGAAGATTAGTAAAGAGCAGATAACTCTGAACAAATGTTCATTAACGTTACTGGAAGAGCGTTTACGTATAATTTTGAGAAAACCATATCGTTAGCCGAAGTTCTGAGAATGTTCCTTGTTAGCAGAGTTAGTTTTCAACCGCAGCTGCGCATTGCAATGCCACTTATGTGTGCGCTAAAGACAGCCATATTCTGCATGCTGTCAGTTCCTCAAAAAAGTATATGAACTATTAAACCTTTTCTAGTAGTATAAGATCAAAGAGCAGTCGTGGACTTCATCGCACTGGATATGTGTTGTGACAAACCTGGGCTTCTGCCTGATGTTGCAGCGCTGTCAGTGTGCGCTGATATTTCAGAGATTTCCCTTCCAAATGCTCTACTCAGGCATCATGCATGCTGTCTGGAATGCATTTATGTGTCGCTGGAGCACAAAAGCAGTCTTAAGTCGCTGGGGTATATTTGTAGCAATAGCCAACAATACATTGTATGGGTCAAAATTATCCATTTTTCTTTTATGCCAAAAATCATTAGGATATTAAGTAAAGATCATGTTCCATGAAGATATTTTGTAAATTTCCTGCTGTAAATATATCAAAACTTCATTTTTGATTAGTAATATGCATTGCTAAGAACTTCATTTGAACAACTTTAAAGGCGATTTTCTCAATATTTTGATTTTTTTGCACCCTCAGATTCCAGATTTTCAAATAGTTGTATCTCAGCCAAATATTGTCCTATCCTAACAATTTCAAATTTCAAAAAGTTGACCATTATGACTGGTTTTGTGGTCCAGGGTCACATAAACACTAAGCAGAAGCAATAAAAGTGTGGATTCACTCTTTTAATGTTTTATAATTTTTATCCATAGGACAATCTTCTGGATTTAGAGCTGGCCAAGCAGGGTCCCGATCCCAAAGACATGGAGGAAAAGGTGGTGAAGATCGGCAGCGTGCTGGATGACCTTCAGACGTGCTTCGCCCGCCTCTTAACCAAACATGAAGCCACAGAAGGCAAACTGAAGAAGCGCGTGACTAAATTAGAAAAGAAGATGACAGACGGAGCGGCGCTCTCTGAGATGCTGGACCCGGAGAGGAAAGAAGAGAAGGAATAGGACGAAAGCTGCAGTTAATCAAAGACCCAGAAGAAAAGCTGCAGACAAACCTGATTAAACAAATTAGTTTTAGAACTTTGAACAGAAGCCTTGTATATTTTGTGGTCCGCCTGTGGTTTGGACTGGATTTGTGGGGATGGATAAAACCGTAGATACACATCAGATTTATCCTGGGCTGTCAGTCTACCACAGCAGTGTGTGAATGAAGAAGAAATCTGAGAAATCTTTGTTTGGTTCTTCCGTCTACCTGCGACTGGTAGCACGCAAATGTAAACCACTGAACAGATGATTGATGTTCACAGCATGTATCTGTGGTTAGTACTGATCATTATTTTTATTCTGTCATGTCTATCATGAGAGAATATAAAGATAAAATTAATCCTTTTTGTTAGCAAAAGTCTGTATGATCTAGTTTCAGTCAAACCTCTTCTAATCAACATTTATACTTAGAGAGTATAACTAATAATGATGCTGCTCTAGCAATATCAGTTAAAAGTTTAATCAGAGAACTAAATGGGCTGTAAAAAATTTTTAAATACATCTTCAATAAAGAATTTCTGACCAGACCCTTTCATATGGCGTTTGTGTTTTGACGCTCTTATTCTATGTACACTAGCAGTCAAAAGTTTTTGAACAGTAAGATTTGTCATGTTTTTAAAGAAGTCTCTTCTGCTCACCAAGCCTGCATTTATTTGATCCAAAGTACAGCAAAAACAGTACAACTTTGAAATATTTTTTCTATTTAAAACAGCTGTTTTCTATTTGAATATCTGTTAAACTGTAATTATTTCTGTGATCAAAGCTGGATTTTCAGCATCATTACTCCAGTCACACGATCTTTCAGAAATCATTCTATTATTCTGATTTGCTGCTCAAAAACATTTATTATTATTATTATTGAAAACAGCTGAGTAGAATTTTTTCAAGTTTCTTTGATGAATAGAAAGTTCAGAAGAGCAGCATTTATCTGAAATAGAAATCTACAGTAACATAAATGTCTTTATCATCACTTTTGATAAATTTAAAGCATTCTTGCTAAATAAATGTAATGATTTCTTTAACCTAAAAATGCTTCTGTATGCTTTTTATATTTATATAATTACTTAAGTACGTTTAAGATTTAAAAAATACTTTTCGCACTTAAGTACAATAAATATCACATACTTTAAGACTTTTACTCAAGTAATGTTCTAAACGGTGACTTCAACTTCTACCAAAGTCATTTTCTGGTAAGATATCTGTACTTTTACTTAAGTATGGCTTTCAGGTACTTTATACACCACTGATAATAGTAATAATCAGAAATGTTTCTCGAGCAGCAAATCAGCATATTAGAATGATTTCTGAAGATCATGTGACACTGAAGACTGGAGTAATGATGCTGAAAATACAGCTGCGCATCACAGAAATAAATTACAGTTTAACAGATATTCACATAGAAAACAGTTATTTAAAATCGTAAACATATTTCACAATATTACTGTTTTTTCTGTATTTTGGATCAAATAAATGTAGGCTTGGTGAGCAGAAGATAATTCTTTAAAAAACATTAAAAATCTTACTGTACAAAAAGTTTTGACTGGTAGTGTACGTTTATTTTTCCTTTACTAATGATGGACTGGTAATATGACAGGCGGACGTGTCATTGAATGACGCTTTCTGAATGCTGACGGGAGTTGTAGTTTTTACGAGAGGATTCCGCCTCACCGCGCTCTGTTAACGACTACATCTCCCATCATGCTCTTCGGCGCTACCGTCTTCCTCATGCGTCCTGATTCCAGGGCTGATCGTTAGAGTAAGACTCTTTATTTATATCAAATCATTTTTCTTAACATTTCTTGCATATTACCTCATGATTATAAACTGATTAATTCAATTACTAATTAAAAGTTTAGCAATTGGAACGGTCGCTTTTATTGAAAGCTGACGTGTTCTGTAACGCTTTCACCGTGTTTTAGTTTTTGTCAATGACTTTACCATGTTTTACCGTGTTTCATTAGAGATCTTACGTTGTTTTGTCACTGATTTTACTCTCATTCACCATGTTTCACCTTTTTGCTGCGTTTCATTAGTGATTTGACAGTTTCATGTTGCAGTTCTACTCATTTTAGTGGTTTAATGGTGTTTGTTTGGGGTTTTTACACTGTTTTACCATATTGGGTGGGTGATTCACCATGTTTCTTCAGTGGTTTCCCAGTGTTCTGGACCCTGGTCTTCTCTGTTGTTTTCTCAGTCATGGATGCGGCGTGGAGGCAGCGGGGTCGGGGACGGGGTCACCGTCCTCCTGGAGATGTGGGGTCAGAGGTCAGAGGAGGAGGTTCGTCTCAGTCCAGGTTTGAGGAGATCAGGAGGTGTGACCAGGCGGCTGCCCGGAGACTGGCCACAGAGCCACGCAGCTCTTCCTCTGAGGATGAGGATGATGTTAGTGAAGAAGGAGGGAAGCAGGGGAAGATTCTCCAGTCAGCTCTGTCTCCGTACACCATTCACTCAGGTCCTGGCCTCACACTCCTGTCACAACCCTCTACAGTGCCAGTAAACCTTCACTCTGATGTGTACTAGTAGCCACTGGCTAATACATTCTCAGATTTTACTCAACAGTGGAGGCACAGTAGAAGTTTAGCACAGATATATTTTCACTCACCGAACATTCTGACTGAGTGCTTCAAAATAACGGCGTTCCTTTAGAATTCTTCAGCTTTTAAGAACTGCCGGTTTCTCCTGTAGTGGGTGGAGCTAATGCGCAAACGACAATCTCATTGGCTGGCGCTCACCTATTATCGTCCCTGTTTTGATTTCAGCGAATCAGTTTGAGCGAACGCACACAACCTGATTAATATTCATGAATCCAGCAGCTCATTAATCCTTACTGCGTTTTATATTGTGCTTAGTAGTAGAATTCGTAGTATTGTTATCTTATCCGTATTATTATTATTAGTTTTTTCTCCCTTTTTTTTTTACAGAAATACTGAATGACCAACAATATCTTAAGCACCACCACCAGTTCTAAATTCAGTTAAAATGACTAATATGCATTCATACGTGGTTATTCTAATTACTGAAGTTCTATCATCATATAATTATAACGCTTGACTGACGTTAAGTGTACATTCAGATATTTAAAAAGCTGTGCCATTTTACAAACACATATATATATTTATATATCAAATATTTAGTGAGAGAGGAGGAGAAATATGTCTCTGTGTGTGTGTTCAGGTGACACTGACATCCGTCTGCTGGAGAAGACGCGTCATTATTTACATGAAGTGTGTCAGTCTGGAGGAGTCACGTGTCTGATCTGCATCGCGTCTGTCAGGAGAACACAGGCCGTGAGACTCACAGACACACACACACGCTCATAAACACACACACACTCATAAACACACACACACTCGCGCTCAGCTTGTCTGCTCTCTCCGTGTCTCAGGTGTGGAGCTGTGTGGCCTGTTATTGTATTTTCCACATCACCTGCATTCAGAAATGGGCCAAAGACTCTATCTTCCTGGTGTCCTCAGTGACCGACGAGGATTTTGGCAAAAAAGATCACCCGTGGCCGTGGTGAGTATCTGACCAATCACAGCGTTCCCAGCGCTGGAGCGTCACGTCACAGCTCTCTGTCTGCATCAGTCCCAAGTGCAGGTATGAGTACAGTCCTCACCAGACTCCCACCAGATACTACTGTTACTGCGGGAAGGAGGCGGAGCCTGTGCCAGATCCCTGGCTCCTCCCACATTCCTGTGGCCAGGTGTGTGAGCGCGAGTTCAGACCATCATGTGGACATCGCTGCCTGCTGCTGTGTCATCCAGGTACACACACACAGACAGAGAAACACACACACACAGACAGACAAAGAGAAACACACACACAGACAGAGAGAAGCGCACACACACACAGAGTGACACTAAAAGAAAACTTGAGTTATATTTCATTCATGAATCATTTTCATGTAAAACCAAATGTGGTCTGTCTGTGTGTGTGTGTGTTTCTCTCTCTCTCTGTGTGTGTGTGTGTGTGTGTGTGTGTGTGTGTGTGCGTGCGTGCGTGTGTGTTTCTCTGTCTGTGTGTGTGTTTCTCTCTGTCTGTGTGTGCGTGTGTGTGTGTGTTTCAGGTCCGTGCCCCCCCTGTCCTAAGATGGTGAGTGTTTCCTGTCTGTGTGAGAAGTCGTCTCGTGTTCCGCGCCGCTGCAGCGCTAAAGCATGGAGCTGCGCACAGATCTGCAGACGGATGCTTCTGTGCCGAATACACACCTGTGCAAACAGCTGTCACGCAGGTATCACACACCTCACACTGACGGATGAGTGTATTCAGGCAGAAGTGCTGTGGTGAGTCGAGTCACTCACTCTCTCTCATGGTCAGGTGACTGTGCTCCGTGTCCGAGGGCCAGTCTGCAGACGTGTGCGTGCGGCTGGCAGCGAGCGGAGCGACCGTGTGCCAGTCCAGAGTGGCACTGTGACCAGGTGTGAGAGTGTGTGTATGTAACGGCTGTCTGATGTGTGTGTGTGTGTTTAACGGCTGTGTGTGTGTTTCTGCAGGTGTGTGGTCGTCCGCTGTCCTGTAGGAATCACACATGTGAGCGTGTGTGTCACGCAGGTGTGTGTGGAGAATGTCCTCGTGCTGGAAATCGCTCCTGTTCTTGTGGCAAGACAAGTACGTTCACACACAAAGACACACACACACACACACACACACACACACACACCTAGGTTCCTAACTGATGACGAAGAATTGACAGAGCAGCCATCGAGTGTTAGACAGTGTTCTAGGTTATTACATGCGGAGGTTTTTGGTCCAATAATCAGAATTTAACAGTAAGAAATTAGTCTTCATCCAGTTTTTTATATCGACTATGCATTCTGTTAGTTTTTCAAATTGGTATGTTTCGCCGGGCTGCGAAGAAATATAGAGCTGAGTATCATCAGCATAACAG